ACATACACATATATATATACTTTTTCATAGTCATGTTCTATTTTTGTCTCCATTGAAACTTTCTGATGTTACTAATAATCATCTTTATCAAATCTAGGTGATACTTCAGTAGGTTAGTGGGTTTGTTTTTGTATCATTTAACTGCTGTCTTTAAAAATTTTTCAAATGGAAATCCAAAGTCTCTATAAGCTTTCATTAAAATTAATAAAAATGTTTTTCTTCTTTATTAATTGTGACACCAATTTTATTTAATTCCTTCCTACTTCAGTGACTGTCTTTTCTTATTCTCCTTTAATAACTTTCCTTCTGCAAGTTTCCATAAATATTATGCTTCTCAGACTTTCATCTTTGATTCTCTTCAGTTTTTATATTGTGTATGTATTGCTTGGTAGTGTTACTTATGCTTAAGATTTTTGCTATGTTTGTAACACCTTAATCTGTAGCTCTAATACAAATCTTTGTTCTGGACTCCAGACCTGTATTTCTAACTTCCAGTTATCTGAATGTATCAGAAGTGCCTCAAAGTCAGCATATTAGAGGCTGAATGAATATATCATCTAAAATGTGCTCGTCTTTTATTTCCTTTTCTGATTAATTATTCATTCTTTCCTCAGATACATAAGCTATTTACTTAGCTGTCCAAGAGAGAAAAGAAACAAATCACAAAGCTGGTAGTAATTCTAGGTTCTTCTTCTCTTCCTCACATTCCTCAATCAATTCTGTGAGCAGATCCTGGCAGTTACCCTTAATCTTTTTGATCTTTTCTCTGTTCCCACTGTTGCTTCAGTTCAGATCTTTTGTTCTTACCTGGATTATTATTACCAAGTCAGATGTCATGGACTTGCTTCCACCACATAGTGAGCCCATGTGTGTTAGAGTAGAACTGTCCTTAATAGGTTTTTAAATTAACATACTTATAGGTTTATTTTATACAGTCATAATATTCCTGCATTTGAATTGCTACTATTTTGTTGGAGAAAGACATCTTGCTTGGAAAGGTAGAGGGTAAGCACAAAAGAGGGAGACCTTGGACAAGATGATTGACACAGTGACTGTCTATCAGGGGTGAGGTGATGAGGTTGGCTAAGGATAGGGCAGGGTGCAGAGCCATTATTCATAAGGTGGTTATGGGTCTGAGTCAGAGTTGACTTGACAGGACATAACATTTTATTGAGAGAATTTTGTAAACTTTTCATTGTAATTTGAATAAAAGTACAGAGAAGATTGGTTTTCCACTCAACCATTCATACACATTTTTTATTTCTAGCTGGGTTGTTTTGGTTTTTTTTTCCTAATCTTTAGCAAGAATTTACTTGCATGTGACTGTAGTGTGTTAGCTTAAAAGTTGGCTTTTTTTTAAGCCATTATGTTAAGCCCCCTGCAAACACATGGTCTTGAAATTATCAACAGCTATGGGACTAGGATAAATGAGAGTACATCCCACACTGGGTAGCGAGACTTGTGGCAGCAAGACTTCAGATGAGCAAGACTTGAGGGAGACTGGAGTGAGACCCTGGTGATGGTGGCAGAGACTATGACATTGTTGTGGAGAAATAGTGGCTAGGTGTGACTGAAGGCTTCTTGCATTTGTGCTGGCCACAGTTAAAGGTTTTGTTGTTCTTGCCCTGGATGCTTGAAGGAGAAGCTGACACATAACTGTTCTGAGGCAAACTTTGCTGGATGATTGAGGAAACCAGAGGTTTCTTGACTTTGTGTTGTGGAGCCTGGACTAATTGAGGAATTGTACCTTGGAACTGTTACAGGGCTAAAAGCTCCATTTTTATTGTGAGGGTTTTTTTTTTTGCCTCCAACCTAATTTCCCTATTAAACCCCATTCTCAGTATGAGTCTGTGAGTCAGCAATGAATAAATGAACCTCTTGCTGGTGCTAAGGCTCTAGAGCCACCATGGAGCTGGGCGGTCTGCTTTCTGCACAGGGCAGTGAGAGACTGTGCTACTCTCACTCCCTTGTTTCCTTTCAGAGAAATGCTCGGGGCCCTGTGCCCCCATGGCCCATTTTCTGTTCTTTAGACAGTGTTATTGATAATTTCCACACTAACAAGAGTGTAATCACCTTGGGTCAACAGGGGTCACCTAGTTTTGGAATGGGAATAAATATGGACTTCTTCCAGTCAGTTAGCCAGGTAATTGTCTTCTAAATTTTGTAGCTGTCCTCTAAATTTCTTAGCTGCCCAGGGCTGGATCAGTTGAAACGTGACTTGGTCATCAAGTCCTGATTTTTTTTGCAAGTGTCTTCAGTGTAGCTTTAACTTCTTCCTTAATTACCATTGAGTCTTGATCATATTATAAACTTTTTCCTGAAATGGTTCTATGCCGACCAGTTCTTTCTGGTTCAATTATTGTATTCTTTCCATCTTTGATACTTCCTGCATCATTCAATATTTTACCCATAGAATCCTTTAGTATTGCAATGTTCTTCAGTTCTTTCAACTTGAGAGATGCAGAGTTTTGGTTTTCTAACTTGCTTTTTTTCTCTTTTCTTTACACTTTGTTAAAATACTTTGCTTTATCTTTTCGAGCTGCCCTTTGAAATCTGTTCTGCTCTCTTAAGCATTTCTGCTTATTCATTAGTGATACTGTACTGATCATTTCCTTACTGCATATTGCCTTTGCTTTCATACAACTTAATTTGTATCTTGTAGCTCGTCTCTGAGGTTTTTTCCTTCTCCACCCTACACGCATGGTATCAGTGAATGTTTCTTTCTGTGTATGAACCTTTTCTTAGTTTTTATAATTGTGAACTCTGTTTTTTGCAGCTTTTATTTTTCTAGTATATCTACCAAGTAGTGGGATCACAGGATCAAATGGTATTTATATTTTCAGCTTAAGAAAGTGCTATATTGGTTGCACCACTAGTGTATGAGAGTTCCAGTTTTTTTCTTCATACCTTCCCTAGAATTTGTTGTTTGCTAGTTGAGGTTATTTTTTTGGCTTTTTCTTTGCTATTTTTGCTACAGTGAGATGGTATCTCATTGTTTTTATTTATATCTAATGATCTCAAGTATTTCTTACTGTGTTTGTTGGCCATCTGAATATAATTTTTGTTGAAATGCTTCATAGTGATTTCACTGGCTTATTTACCAGAACTACTAATCTTTTAGTTAGCAATCAACCATTTAGTCATTTGTTCCACTTATGAGTCCTGAACCATCGCTGTTGTTGTTACTTGTCCTCTCTCAGGAACACAAACCATGTCCTTGCTTTTTATACGCTCCCTAGCAGTAGGTCTTGAATAAATGCATATTGAGTGGGTAGACACTGATGAACCTTCTGCTGCTACCGTTGATAAAGATGATATATCACAGCGGCACAAAAGTATTCTGTGGAAAATTTGTGAATATTTAAAGAGAAGCTAAATACTAGGATAAAGCCTAACTTCAGATAAAGAAATATGGCCTCCTCACAGATCTTTTTCTTGAAGGAAATAGTCTGAGCATTGAGGAGACATTAACTTCGACAATGCTAACATTCTCTTTTATCTATATCCAAACACTTTTTGCTGTTTACTTGAATTATAGCAGAGTTGGTTACCTGAAGAAGCAGCATATTTCTCAGAATAGGAAAATGACTTAAAAATGTAATAGGGAGATAAGGATTTCAGTGCTGAGTGCAAAAATAATGGTTAATGCTTATAATTGTTTATTAATAACAGGATAGGGCAGAGTTTAGGGGTGTTGTACATAGGATTGCTATGAGTCGCAGGCAACTCGATGGCATGTAACAACAACAACATGTAAATATAAAAGTATGTGACCATCAGCCAACTCTTAGAGAAAAAGGTGTTTTTAAAATTTATTATTTGTGACAGCCGACAAGATGGCGGACGGGGAGCTGACCGTGGATAGTCTCATCACCCTATTGCTGGAGGAACTCTACTATGCTTAGTGGTAAAAAGATGCACTACAGCCGGCGGGAGCTGCGGCCCGCTGGGAGCTGTGGCCCGGCGGGCCCGGTGGGAGCTGCATCACTACTGACCTGCCCTCGGGTTGACTCAGCAATTCTGGTAAATCACCACCTGTAGCAGAATCATCACCTGTACTAGCTACCCCAGAGGAAATCACTGAGATGCAAAGGAAAAATGAGCTGAAAATCAAGATAAAGGAAGAACATCTTGCCGCTTTGCAGTTTGAAGGCTGCAGCACTTCCATGATACATCTTCAAGGATATGAGCATGTACGGCTGGGCACAATTGATAACAGTGCATCTAAATTCCAAAATCAATCTCCATGGTAGTCTATGTGTTTCCTACTGCCAAGGGGGTCCTTTAGAGTAGTGAGAGAAGACCTTCACCCTGAAACCCACAGCGTCCCTTTTCAGCGGGAAGTAGCTAAGAGAATACGTCATCCCCTTTTCCTTATGAATCAGGGTGAAGTCTCTCTCAGGGAGGAGAGATAGGGAATGGCAAGGGACACACTGACAAAGGAGATTAATCAGAACTGGCTTTGACAAGCACTGTGGCAATTGGACAATTAAAACAGACATGGGGGGGAAAGAAGAACGAACTGGGGATGAGGGTGGAGAAAACAGTGTAACAATGAATGAATGAAAACCCAAAATCTCTGTAAATGTTCATTAAAACTAATAAAATTTAATAAAAAAAAATTTATTATTTGTGTTTTATAGTAGCATCTTATAGGCTTATTGTAGAAAATTTATAAACTTTACCAAAAACAACCACCATATATATAGAGAGAGAGACAAAAGAGGGTGCATATACATAACTGAACTCTGTTAGCTTGGGATAATCATGTTAATATATTGGCTTATTTCCTTCTAGTTTTTCTGTTTGCCTTTTATATGCTCTCCACTCTACTTATTGCTTAAAGAGTAGTCATAAAACAACACATACTCACCACCCTGCTTAAGAAATTCTATTTGGTTAGTGTAGTGTTGAATGTAAATTTATCTTTTTCCATTAGGAAATGGACCAGACAATGGCTGCCAATGCCCAGAAGAATAAATTCTTGATTGATGGTTTTCCAAGAAATCAAGACAACCTTCAAGGTTGGAACAAGACCATGGATGGGAAAGCAGATGTATCTTTTGTTCTCTTTTTTGACTGTAATAATGAGGTAATTTTGCTATCAGCTTATATGGACTTTAAACAATTTTTGGTCACACAAAGTGGTTTTAAACTTACAGCTGCATTTTATAGTAGAAGCAATATTTTTTTTAACTTTCTTATTGTGATTTGAGTCAAAGTTTACAGCAGCAATATTTTTTTAATTGGTCAAATTAACTGGACAAAGCATCATTGTCTTTCGCTGGAGTATTGAAAACTATTTGGTATCAACAGCTTTGTGGACCTAAAATCTATATTTCAGAACAACAGGAGCCTACCATGTTTTATTTTTTAAAATAAAAATTTATATCTACAATAGCTGAACTACTGTTATTCTTAAATATACATTACTGTCAGATAATGTCTCACTTTAGAGTGTTATTTACTGATTTCTTTAGGGTGTATTCCCAGTAGTGGAATAGCTGTGTCAAATAGTATTTCTGTTTCCAAGTTTGTTTTTGTTTTTTTTTTTTTTTTTTAGAAATCTTCAGATCAGACCACCTTTCATATTTGTTGTTTGATTTTCCATTCCCACCAGCATTCAATAAGAGTTTCAGTCTCTGCACTCTCACCAGCATTTGTTGTTTTCTGCCATGTGGAAATTTCTATTGTTGATTGGGTTAGATGATATCTCATAGTTGTTTTTTACTTCCTTTACCAGGTGTGATAAACATGTAGAACAGCCCAGTTTGTCTCTTAAGAGGAAAATGATCTGGAGAAAAGTTTTTTTTCCCTTTTTGACGTGTCTAATACAACACCTATCCTTACTTTTGAATAACTGCATTAATTTCTTAGAGTCATTTAATTAAAATGCATGACTCTTGCTTGACAGCTACTATAATGTAAATGTCATTAAATTAATGCCAGCATCCTGAAGGAAGAAGAATCTGAAGTAGTGCCTGGAAGGTTTGCTATTCTTAGGATAAATTGCAAATATGCCTCTGATGGAGAGACTTGCTACAGCCTTTGCATTGTTTTAAAATATAACTCTTTTCTTTCATCCCCCAAAAATATGTTTTCACTTAATCTTCAAAGTTAACTTTAGAATGTTACCACAGCTTTATTTACTAGAATGGTTACTCACTGTTAACAAGGGATGCTTTATTCAAATGCAAATATGTTGACTCTTAAATATTTGGATATTAGTGGAATTATTGACAAGGAAAACAGAACAAAGTTTGAAGCATGTAATTCATACCTAATAAGTTAATAATATATCCTAGATGGAACCATACACATACAGATCTTCTTTTTATTGCGGTTTATAAAAAAAAGAAAAAGAAACACACACACAGAGGAAAAATTGAGTCATGAATGAATTCTTAGGCTCTGTACTTATTTAACCTAGTTTATATAAATTGAACCACATGTTTAAATTTAAAAAGGTTTTTGCATGTTGATTAATGAATTAGATACATTGGGCTTAACAGGGATTTTTTTAATTTTAGTATCTTCAAACTTTTATGTTTAAAAGGAGGGCAAATTTATATCTTCCTATCCTCTTTCTAACTTTTTGCTGATCTCTTTTTAGATCTGTATTGAACGATGTCTTGAGCGAGGGAAGAGTAGTGGAAGGACTGATGACAACAGGGAAAGCTTAGAAAAGAGGTATGCTTTAATATTTAAATATTGCCAATCCAATCCCAGCGTGGAAATGATGTAAAAGATTGAATACTTGCCATACTTTGGTCCAGAAAAAGAAAATGCCATGCCGAAATATGTTAAATGGTTCATTTTAGGCAATTTTGTGTCCATCAGTGGGGTCAGATCTAGTATTGTTCTCTGAGCTTTTCTGGAATATAAAGAAGAAAGGATGGGTAACCAGAACATTCTAATATTTCCTTCTTTTGCAGAATTCAGACCTATCTTGAGTCAACAAAGCCAATTATTGACTTATATCAGGAAATGGGAAAAGTCAGGAAAATAGATGCTTCTAAGTCTGTTGATGAAGTAAGTTTTCCTAGCTTGATTTAAAGAAAAAAAAAAAGTCAGCTGAAAATGGGATTGATTTCTTATAGAGTAGGCCAGAGAAAAACTATGACAGTAATTTATTGGTATTTTGTCCCCAAAGACTGTAAACTAAATTAAAGATTAAGCATTTTCTTCTTTTAGAATAATATCTAAGGTAGAATTCACAACTTCTGACTTACTTTTCATGAGAAGTAGATGGTTTATTAATTTCAAACCCTTTATCTCAGGTGTTGGAAAACTGCCATTTTGAGACTTTTTTCCTTTTTTACAAAAAAAGCAAGTAAACATGTATTTTCGTATTTTTAAAATCTGCAACATAAACAGCAAAGTCATTTAGTGCAGAAATCCCAAGTGGTTTTCCTATCTTCCATCTCAGAGCACGTACTCCAGAAGCACAGGGTTTCCATAGCTCCATACTTCTCCCTTATTTCATAATCAAATCTCTAAATTGTGGTTTTCAAGTCTTAGTGCTTGGCAAAGATTTTTTTAGTATCTCCACATTCACCTAATCCCCTGAATCTGCTGCTTTGTGTCCTTTATTATTTTTTTAATCCATTTTTGTTTATTAACTACCTCAGAGGTAAGGTAATATATGAGAAAACTTTGTACATTAGAATCAGAACTAAGAAGGTAAAGCACTTAGATTACATTTTATCAAATTATTGGTAGTCTATGAAGAAGTTTGTTTAGTACATAGTCATTCATATTTTTATATGTATTTATGATCTTACAGTGCTTTTAAAGTAAAATAGGTGAAATTAAATAATATGCTGCTTTAAAAATTAGCCATTTAAGAAATGAATATAAAACTTTTAATAAGAATATAGCTACGTGGAGTTTTGGTAATACCTGCTTTTTAAGTTATTATCTTTTTCCTTTTCAGGTTTTTGACGAAGTTGTAAAAATTTTTGACAAAGAAGGCTAACTTTCTACTTGAAGGCATTCTTGAAATCATGCTTGAATATTGCTTTGATAGCTGCTATTACAACCCCTTTTAAAGGCAATTTTGATCTTTCATAATTACATCTCAATTAATGGCTGGAAAGTATGTAGTAAGATTTTTTATCTGGGGTTTTTTGTTATTTTTGTTTTTATCATAGGAGTAAATGGTGATTTCTGGTTCAACTTTAGCTTAGCTATGGTGCTCACTAAACAAAGAAGGGTGTCAGCTCGTTTTTGTTTTTATTTCAAGAGGAATATCCCTTTTATAGTCTGTGCCTTCTGTGAGCAAATCTTTTTAGTATGTGCGTGTACCCCTGACTAGTGTAATAGGATTAGGGATCTCAATTCCTTTTTTCCTTGCAGGTTTTAAATTTCCAACCTGCAAAATGAATTTGTGGACCAAATTTTAAAAGATCTTTTTGTGTAGTCATTTCTTGCAAAATGTGTTTGGTAAACAAACTCCTAAAATGACTTCCTAGAAGTGTTTAGTGTTTCTCATATAACTGCCCATTTCCTGTAGAAAAAGCAGAAAACTTGGGCTTTGTACAGAGCTTGTACTGCAGCTTGGACAGAGCTTTATGACAGGGCATGTTTTTTGCTTCCAGGGTTTGGGTTAGAGACTTAGGGGGTTCAGAGCCTGGCAGAATGTCAGCTTTATTCTGACATAAATCTGAGGGTAAGGGATGAGGATCACACTTATGGCTGTGTTCCTTATGCTCTAGTCTATTAATGATTAAATGGCCTTTTAACAAAATTCTTAGCAGTGGGACACTGAAATGCATGTACTAAATTTAATGATACCATTAGCATTTTAGTAACACTTAAAAGATTTGTTTGTTTGCTTTTGGGTTTCTAGATAAATGCAGATTTAATATAAAATAGAAGAAGAAATGTGAATGGTTAAATTTCTCATTTGTATTTCGTTTTCTTGAAAATTTTTTCAAGAACTTGAAAATTTTGTTTAAGAAGATATAAAAATCATTGCACTTTGGTCAGAAAAAGAATAAATATATCTTATAAATGTTTGATTCCCTTTCTGGCTACTTTTATTTGGTAAGTTCTATTCTCCCTTTTGCCCCCCTCATCATGTTGAAGCACTGAATAGCATTATAAATGACTATGGAGGCCAAAGACATTTTCTCTTAAAATAATTTTTCCTTTAAAAAAAGGTTTCTGAAAAATGTTTGTCTTTATTATTATTATTATTTTCTTCCATAACTAATGCACAGTGGTCTCCACAGTTCTGATGTGAGATTTCTTAAAATCTATCTCATTAGGTATACAGGGTTAAATAAGGCAAAGGATTTTGTCTTTGTATAATTGGATTTTATATTTAAGTCATTAGGAATTAGGACAGTATGACAAATGTTCTTATAATATATTAGAATAATTCATTTTCCTTTGTGTTTATGAGATTCACTTATTAATGATAAATTTTTCAACATACTCACCATTAGGAAACACTGTATCCATAGGTTCTTTATGATTTTGTTATTAAATAACTTATTGACTACCAAAATTTGTATTAAGATTATATCTTGGTTTCTTGGAAGAGATTGTAATGAATACTTATTTATTGATTCAGTCCAGCTAATCAGAGAGATTTTATTGGTGATTTGATCAAACTGTGTTAGTATGACTCCAAAGGCTAAGACTTAGAGAGCATTCCTATTCACATATGTGAAGAAATCTGTCAGATCTGGGGGTGGTGGAGGCGTGTGTGTGCTCTAAATATTTATATTGATATTGTAAAAGCAACTTTTACATTTTTAAGACTGCTGAGACTAAATGCTTTGCTTCCATTCATCAGATATCATTCTGTGGCATTTGAAAACAGAAAACCAAGAAACATAGTAATTTCTAAATTATGAGGCTTTGCTTTTTGTTTTTAAGTAGAAAAACATGTTGGCAATATTGAGTTTTGGAGTTGATTGAGATTCATATGACTTCACTAGTTTGGCTGTTCGTTTGTTAAAGATACAGTCACCAAGATGTTTTTTACTTTGTTGAGGGGACTGCATTTGGGGCCTTGGTTTTTTTCTTTATTTAAAAATTTAAATTAACTGATTTCCCATTTTATGATATTGGATATATATTAATTATTTCATAAATAATCCAAATAAATTTTGTGCTGTGGCCTTTGCTATTTTTTTGGTTCAGATTTCTGTTCTCTTAAGCATATTGAAGGTCAAGGAGTATCATATTTAACATGTGAGTTCTCCCCTAGCAAAAGCAGAGTTCATTCAAGATCCAGGAGAGTTTTCTGCTGTGCGTATTATGTTTGTATGTCTGGAATGAAGCAAATAGCATAACTTTATCCCATTTCTTCAAGAATGAATCTGAATTGATTCATAGTCTCTTTCATTACCAGCTTGCAGCACTAATTGCTTGTCATTTTATTAGGGAATTGATCCAAACACCATGTCTCAGGGTGTGGAATTTTTGTGGGCTAGTGTTTTTGTCACATAGTTTAAGTGGTCGTCTAATAGTCCAGTGATCCTCAGAGATAACAGTAGCTGAAATATTGGCCAGAAAAGGTCAACACATTTCCCTTAGAGAGTTAGTCCTTCATCTTCAGGCATTAACTAATTGAATAAGTCAAAGTGCTGTGGCGACATAACCCTGTCTTCCAAGGACTTTCTGTCTAAAGCTAATACGCTGATATGGATAGATCTGAAAATGTCTTCTCTTGGCCAACTTTGGTTACTTATAGTACATTTTGGTTCACCCTAGCTTAAGTAAAAGGGTGCTCATTTATTGTACACTAAAGGGAAAAGGTGAAAATGGTCCTAATCACCTGTCCCTTACTTCTCTATTCTTAACTGCAAGGTAAGATAGCTGCTTCTCATTTATCAGCATAGGCTCCAAACACCAGCCTGCTAATATGGAAATGAGTATTGAGTGAAAATGGAGGATGACTACATCATTAGATAAGTGTTAAAGCACTAAACATTGTGGTCCAGGCAAGCTAACCCATAGCCAAGCCTTCGCAGCAAATGTTACTCTTACTTTGCACCTCAGCATTTGTTACTGCCAGGCTTATGTCATTAATGCACAAATTAATCAAATGGATTTTTTGTCACCCTTGTTATAAATGTGAAGTGTGAATAACAAGATAGTAAATGAGGTATACTCTCATGAATCCAGGTATATTTTCCTTTGGATAGATGTGGCTATTGTTACTATAATAACCCTGGACCTTGGCTTGTCTCTGCTTTCCTGTCCTGGAGAGTTAAAGAACTGGTTGGATTTCAGGCCACCACTCAAAACCAATCATGGTAGCTCAGCTGTCACCAGGGTTTAGATCTTTATAGCATCCCAACCATCTCCAGTCATCACAAGCTTTCTCTTAAGTCCCCTTCCAAAGAGGCTTCTCTCTTATGACGTCACTCTCCCATGCACCCAAACATAAGAGAAGAAGGTTTCATTATTATTTCTAGAGAAACAAGGACAATAAATCAGAACATTTCTCTAAGTGATGTTCTTTCATTTATAATTTTAAAGCAACTGTATGTAAATACTCTGGGTGTTTTAACCAACCAGAAAAAAAAAAAACATTTTCAGAGCTCAGTTACCACATGTCCAAGTTTTAGTGTTAGATAATCACCAGCAAACATTAAAAATTGTCTTCTTCACAGTGAAATTAAGAAACATACTGCATAAATAACATATGTAGTCTTATTTGATTGACAAACTACATTTAAAAAAACATAGTAGGAAACCGAAGGCATGTATATTACTTTTTGTGGATGGTGGAGGGTCTGCCTCTTAAAATGTCAGGAAGTATTGTAGGAACAAGATCCAATGGTAATGAAGGAAGTTTAAGCTGTACTGAAGGTACTGGCAAATTATGTTGTTGTTGTTGTTATGTGCCGTCGAGTCACCTGCGATTCATAGCGACCCTATGTACAACAGCCCTAAACTCTGCTCTGTCCTGTGCCAATTGCACTGTCTCTGACACTCCCATCCCAATTATCCCAGT